TCTGTACCAAGCCACATGCTTAGGCTCCTAGCCTGAGAATTCTTCGTTTCCTTTTTTCCACCAATTTTATCAGTTTTTCTTTGTCTAGAATATGAAAAGGAGAGTGTCATGCTTTGTTGCAGTCATCTGTAGCATGTACTACAGAGTTTCACCATTCTCCTTCCATAACAGCAGGCACAGTATATCAGGCAGGGCGCAACAGAATTTCTTTCATTGCACCTAACACATTTTAAAGCTTCCAGGTCAGATCTCTCACAGCCAGGACTTCTCCCCTTCTCTCTATACTTTAGACAGATTTCTTGTACTGAGAGGCATCAGAAATAGGATCATTCCTACCAAGTTGTCAGAATAACAAAACCTGAGGGAGATGCTTGCCTCTGCCTACCCCAGCTCTCCTTAAGGCCTAGAACAAGCTGAGCCCTCCTGGGCAAAACAGCATCTCCATTTTATAGATCTTTAAATGTGATCCCTCCTGGGCAAAACAGCATCTCCATTTTATTTGTTACTGCCTGAAAATTAATGGGTAAAACACATGTTAGTAATTTTCTTTACATTTTTTAAAATCAATCTTTGGGTAGTCCAGTCCAAATAGGAGAACATTTGTTCTCTTTTGCCCCAGTACTATTGCACTTTTCATAAAACAGCTTAGCTCAGCTTATTCATCTGCCCAGCCATGCATCTTACTGCCCATGACTCCATTCAGTATGACAGACTTTGCAGCAGTCAGAAGTTTCACCAGGAAACTGACTTTTAAATAAAGTATCTTCCCCATCAGCCTGTCACATCTTGCTTTAAAGGTATTTCTTTATTTTCTAACCCTGTCCCCCTGTGATTAAGTGCATTAGTATCTTAATGAAAATGCATTCTGTTTATTGCCCTCTTGGGAAGCAAGAGGTCATCACACCAAATGCATAAATTGTCATCAGAGACAGTCCGAGCATAATTGCAATTTTGCTGCTCCATGTTTGCTGCACTCAGGGTCCGTCAAAGTCCCCTGAAACATGCGCAGGTTCTAATAATTAGCATAGAGTCTGCCTGGGACCACAGCATTGATGAAATATTTCAGAGTTAATCACACTTTGTAAACACTGATTTATATTGACTACCTTTCTCCAGACTGATGTCTCCTCATTAAATATCACATTAGTGGATTGCAGGATTGCACAAAGACTCAAATGCTCAGCAACTGCTAATTCAACGGGAAGTAATACTTAAACCACTTACATCTATTGAAAATTGGTTAAGTATTTATGATAAGGGAAGTCTATACAGTGCGGTGTATATTCTGCCAATACAACCAGATTGTACTTTGCACAACCTTTTCAGGACTTTGCGGGCTTTCTTCCTCCTGAATGTTGCTGCATGACCGACTTAGCAACGCTGGTGAATAAAACAGATCTTGGTATGTCTGAATGCTAGTGGTACTTGTTGACAAAAGTCAAACTTCAGTGTAGTTCTCTTCCCATTCCCTAGCTCCTCAGAAAAAAGCTATTTAGGAAACTGAAGGATATGGTGGGTAGGAAATTCAGTACAACAGTTCCTGCAAAACGTCTTTCCAATACGCATTACTGAAGTTAAGAAATAACACTTCTGGAATGATACGTAGGAAAGGGTGGTAAAGGCAAGCTTAAAAAAAGATTCATGTTATCCTCTCAAATTCTAACGAGGCATTCTTAGTGAGGCATAACCACTGTACAGGAAGACCTTCAAAGCCTTTCACAAATTGTATCTAATTAACTTCATCATATTATAGTAACAAATGTATTATCATCCCTTTTTATTAAAAAAAAAAAAAAAAAAAAAGAAACAGGGAATCAGAAATGCTTTGCACAAGATCAAAGATATCTTTGCACAAGGTCAGAAACGATCTTGACCAAAAACGAGATCGAGGTTCCAACACAGAAATTCAAGCAGCAAAGCTCTGTACCAAGGCAAGTGGAGCACCTCCACTATAGCCAGAGCCTTTGTGCAAAGGCACAGATCACAAAGGTACAGATGGCTGCACCAAAAAGTATTACTGAAAACCAGAGAAATATAAGCAAGATTGCTTATTTCCCTAAGAAGACACTTCTAATCCATAAACTGGTATTTCAGTTTTGTGCAAAATCCTGTGAAACACAGCAAGGGTCTGCAGCGTGTAGCACATTATACACAGGTAACGTAACTTTCTTTTCCTGCAAATTCTTGCCATCTAAAGAACTCTAAAATGAGCTATTATTCTGGTCACTTAGATTCCAGTACTTCAGAGGGGGTATTTTCTCCTATCAATTTAGGCTGCTTTACTTTAATGAATTATATTTTACAGCAGATGTTCAATCTTAATTTTTGATGTTAGAAAATATACTTGGAAGATGTTGGAAAGAGTTCCTCCAATGAATTCAGCAGAGTTACAGTAACTGGATTTACTGCTGCAGCAAAGATCCACATCTTACCAATGGTCACAGCTGGTTCCCCCTTTTAAAATATGGCAAGACCACAGTAAGAGTTCAAGGAAACTAACATTTTGTCACCACTATGAATATATGAATGCAGTATTTTATCAAATATCCCCACAGACAGATTTCATTTCTGTGAGTTTTCCTTAAAAATAAAAAAAAAATCTCATGGAATTTTGCAATGGATACGTACCTGTATATATATCATACTCAAAATGTGTTTTTACCTGCTAGGATTAGTGGATGTATTTTTGGTAAAAACCTTTAATTTACTGCACATTGCAGGTCAGTAGAGCCCTCATAATTTCTTATTTACTTCTATACACTAAAAATAAAGAAACAAATGAATTGAAAAAGTGTTTGGGAATCTGTACAAATTCATAGGTACACTACATCCATTCAAGATGCTCAGATCTGCATTTTCTTTTGATAAGGAAGATTCAGAAGGAAGTTTTACCTTTTACTTGTCCACTGCACAATGCTAGAGGCAGAAACTGAGCAGCTAGTAAGAGTGTAAGTTGAGTTTTCCCAGTCCTGTCAACAGTTGGAGAGGTAGCTGTGTTATACAGTAAACAAAATCAACATGGCAGCTCCAAGTCTTTAAACTGGGCTGACAAGAACGATCGAGCAATTTATAAGATCTCCTGGCTGGTTTTCAGAAAGGACTGGGCTCTGATTACTTATTTCAGAGTCTTTTGCACAATTAGTTTGCAGGCAATATAATTTTCTCACTTACTCCTTAATAGAATCATGCAGCTAGCTGGCTGATAGAATAACAGCATATATGTAAAACTCCTGCCTGAAGTGCCAGGGGATAATTTGTATATTCCTTTCAGTAGCGTAATGGACTTTTACAGTTTGGCAGTTAAAGGGCTGAGTAATGTAAATTAGTATGACGTTTCAAAATAAAAATATATGTCAAATCTTCACTCCCCAAACACACTGCCCTGTACTATAATAATACAACAGGATTTATGCCAGCCTGAGTTCTTTTTCTCTCCTCGTGCTCTGAGTAATGTTTATTTAAAAACAGTTCCTTTTTCCTACTGATTTGTTAAATTTTATTACCTCAGTCAAAAGATGAGGAAATACTTCTAACACACTGTGCCTATCAAGAGCAACTGACTCACTAAAAATACGATGCCATTTGATCTTGAGATAGCAGGTGAACTGCTAAAACTTACACTCCATAACCAGCTCTCTGGTTTTAGATGCTTCAGATTCTCAGATCTTTACACACAGCTCAAGGATAAGCGGGCCAAGATACCATTTTTTTTTTAATCTCACAGATGAGGTTTGGAGGTTAACTGAATGAGATGTGGAGTCATGGTACAGTTTTAATGGTACAGGGACTTGAACTCGACAGCTTTACAAACCAGGCAACCGGACTCAGCCAAGATTCTCGAGACCATTTCAGCCATTTCTTGCATGGAAGTGGCAGCAACACTCAAGGTAAAAGAAGAGGAAGAATGAGAACCATGACAAAGAGGCGGTCACTGAGAGCACTGGGCCTTATGCCTTGGCATCTTATCCCAAATGAAGTTATTGTCATCAACAGTTACAACTTTAGAACCTCACAAATATCAAGAGTGCAAAGCTGGCTATAGAAGCTGGCTCCAGTCTCTAGGACAGGCTGAAACAGGGGTCTCTCTTCCAGAAATACTGACAAGAACAGAAGCTGCAGAGAGCCATTCTTAGCAGAAGTTTTCTTTCCCTTTTCACACTGCAACATTTGATATTACAACACTAAAGATGTAAAAGGATTGCTATGAGCTTCTGGACTATGCTCAGAAAATCTTTGGACAAGTAAAAGACATGAGGAAGATTGAGATACAGGGTGAAAATGTGTTTGGAAATAGTAGTCATGAGCCACTTACAAAAGCAGGAGGAATGCTGAAGATAGCAGTATTGAAACTTCTCCAGAAGGGGAAAAAAAAAAAGGCAAACCAATAGAGAGGAATTAATTATTCCTGCAATGTAATAATTTTATGCTATAATTAGCCCACGAAACTGTATTTCAGTATCTCTTTATTTATATCCAATAACGCCCCATTTTCCTCCCCAACTTTCTCTTTAAAGTTCTGTAAT